TCCCAGAATGTTGATAGAGGGGGATTCGATGTTGGCAATGAATGTCAAGGGGTGATGGTTAGATTATTTCTTGTTGGAGATGGTTACTGTTTGGCACTTGTATGGCATGAATGTTCCTTTGCCATTTGTCATCCCAAACCTGGATATTGTCCAGGTCTTCCCGCATTTGGATGTGGACTGTTTCATTATCTGAGGAGTCACGAATGGTGCTGAATTTTGTGTGATAATCAGCAAATATCCCCACTTCTGACCTTATGATGGAGGGAAGGTCAGTCGTGAAGCAGCTGAGGATGGCTGGGCCGAGGACACTACCCTGAAGAACTCCTGCAGAGATGTCCTGGAAATGAAATTGCTAATTTCCAATAACTACAACCATCTTCCTATGTGCTACTTATGACTCCAACCAGTGGAAAGTTTTCCCCCTAATTCCCATTGATTCTAGCTTTGTTAGAGCTCCTTGCTGCCACACTTGGTCGAATGTATCCTTGATTTCAAAAGCAGTCACTCTCATATCACCTCTGGAATTCAGTGCTTTTGTCCATGTTTGAATAATGCTATAGAGATGAGTGACCCTGGCAGAATCCAAACTGAGCAGGCTATTTAATAGCATTATTAATGACCCTTTCCATTACTTTACTGATGGTTGAGGGAAGATTGATCGGGTGATGATTGGCCAGGTTGCGTTTGTCCTATTTTTGTGTACAGGATATGCTTGTGTGGTTTTAAACATTGTCAGGCAGATGCCAGTATTTTAATTGTGACGACTTAGTTATGGGTACAGCAAGTTGTGGAGCGCCAGTCTTCTATTGTTGGAATACTCCCAGGGCCCATAGTCTTTGTAGTAGCCAGTAGTGTCTCCGACTGTTTCTTGATATCATAAGGAGTGAGTCTAATTGGCTGAAGATGAGTGTCTGTGCTGCTGGGAATCTCCAATATATATTCAGATGTTTTGTGTTTTGATTTAATGAGAATTGCTGTCTCTGTTTTTAGATAGTGAGTTCCAGAACCTCACCATTCATGGGTGAAAAACTTACTTTTCAACTGCTCTCTAATCTTTTAAACCTCTTTACTCTTGGTACTTCCTGGCCAGTCTAGAGCTCTCATAATATTATAACTTATCACCTAACACTCTCTTGACTTTCTCTTTCCAAAGAAACCAGACCTAGGGTGGCATGGTGGCTCAGTGGCTAGCACTGCTGTACTCCGAGTGCTGGGAACCGGGGTTCAATTCCAGCCTTGGGTGACTGTCTGTGAGGAGTTTGTGCATTCTCACTGTATCTTTGTGGGGTTTCCTCTAGGTGCTTCAGTTTCCTCCCAAAGTCCAAAGATATGGAGGTTAGGTGGATTAGCCATGGGAAATGTAGGGTTATAGGGTAGAGGTGTGAGTCTGGGTGGGATTCCCTTCTGAGAGTCAGTGTGGACTTGTTGGGCCGAATTGCCTGTTTCCACACTGTAGGGATTCTATTCCAATCTTTCCCCATAGAGAAGGTTTTTCTATTCTTGGTAACATCCTTATAAATCTCTTGTGTACACTCTATCATATGATCACATACTTCCTGTCATGTGGTGGCCACACTGTATGTACGGCTCTGTCTGTGGTCTAATTGATTGTGTGTGATACAATTTTAGAATAAACTCTGTGCTCTTACATTCTTTGCCAAAAGAAGAAAACATCCTATATGCCTTCTTGACTACCTTATCTAGATGTCCTACTACTTTCAAGGATATGCACTCCAATGTACTTGTTTTTCTCTACATTTCTCATCTTGCTCCCATTAATGTTATACTTCCCTGCCTTGTTAGTACTCCCCATATTCTCACTTCTCCGATTATCCATTTTTCTGCCTAGCTGATCAGTTTGTTAATACCTTCCTGCAGTCTACAGCTTTCTTCTTCACTTGCAACCAAAGAGCCAGTCTTTGCATCATCTGAAAGATTTCTAAATGTGTCCCTGATAATATTATGACCGCAGCTGATGATTATTACTGGATGGGTCATATTTTAGAGTGAGATCTGTCTCCATAGAACATACGTTTTATTTTTCTTTTGTTTATTCTGGGGTGAGTCGCTGAACAAATTCACAAGGGTTGCCAATGCACTTTTAACAAAAGAACATGAAAGTTTATTAAATATCTCACAATGCAAGAACTATTTGAAATCATCTGATTACAAATGAGAAAGTATCAACTCGTTTACCCCAACAACATTACAGACACCCAATCTTAGTGAAGCGTAGCCATGATTTCGATGCTAAAACTCCTTGTTCTGCTAACACAGCTGCGAGCAGTTTCTTCTCAGCAAATTTCTCTATTCAGTTTTTCTTTAGTTAATGTTGATAAGATTTTCTTAGGGTAAAACATTATTGCCACTATGAAAAATCTAAAGATGCTGGAAATTTAAAACAAAAACAGAAATTGCTGGAGAAACTCAGCAGGTCTGGCAGCATCTGTGGAGAGAAAGCAAACTCAGTGTTTCAGGTCTAGTGAACCTTATTCAGAACAGACCTATCTTCCCAACAGTCATGGACCCAAAATGTTAATTCTGGTTTCTCTTTACAGATGCTGCCAGACCTGCTGAGTTTCTCCAGCAATTTCCACTTTTTTGGTTCACTAAGATCCTTTAGGGAAGGAAACTTCCATCCTTAAATGGTCTGGTCTCTTCGTAGTTCCAGACCCACAGCAATGAAGTTGACTCTTAACTGCCCTCTGGACAATTAGGTATTGACAATAAATGCTAACCTAGACAGTGACATCCTCATCCCACGAATGAATAAACAAAAGTATGATATTGTCTGATGAAGGGTCTAGGCCCGAAACGTCAGCCTCTCTGCTCCTATGATGCTGCTTGGCCTGCTGTGTTCATCCAGCCCTGCACCTTGTTGTCTCGGATTCTCCAGCATCTGCAGTTCCTACTATCTATGATATTGTCTGGGTGCTTTTTATATACTAACCCATTTAACATATACCACAAAAACTGGGTTCTAGTTGAGACAGATGAAGTTTATTAACAACTCTAATAACGTGATATCATATTTCAGTCTTCTATGTTCTACGCTTATCTATATACTGGCACATTGCATACACTACTGACTAGTTAATTAGTTGACTGACTGACTGACTACTTAACTGAATGCTTAACTGATTAGCTGAGAGTAAGGTATACTTTTATACCATAGATGCTGCCAAACCTATTGAGTTTCTCCAGAACTGTCTGTGTTTATTTCGGTATGAATGAATCTGCTTCTGCACCCCCCACTCTTCTCTTTCTGTATTGCAAGATTCAAGTCAGCAAATACCTGAGAAATTAAATACCTAGTGGCTTACGATTCACATAATTTTCTAGAAATGCTTTCTTTAACTCCCTGTTCAGAAATAACCTTCAGACCATGCTAAAAAAAGACTTTCACATGACTGAAAACTAAAGTCCAATTTTTCTCCAATTTAGAAAAACCCAGTTCCCAAATCCTTTGAACAATTCAATATAATTTCATAGACATGACATCCCCCGACAAAGCCATGTTGACTATCTTTAATTAATGTGGAAATTAATTCTTAACCCCAGTCTTATTATAGCACAAGAACCAACCTTAGAATTGAGGTCAGGCAGAAAATGGACAAAGGATCCCTGAAGAGGCCAAATATCCCTGCTGACTCATTGGAAACCTTAGTCTGTGACTAACCAAAATGGTGAATGGTCAGTGAGGAAGGCACTCACATTGAGAGACTGCATGACAGCACACAGAGGCCATGCTGAGAGCATCAAGCCTCAAACATCTTGTCTACTTGACCGTTACAGCATCCCATGTGGTCTGCATGTGGCAGATTGAGCATATCATGGGAATAGATTTATCAACACTTCAGAATACCAGAATGGAAGGGGTCCAAATCCTGAGAAACTGAGATTTCAAGATGATTAATACTGAAAATGGATTTTTATCTATACTCAGGCTAATCTTTGACTGACCAGGACTTCCTGTGGTTCCTTCTGGTTACTCAAAAACTGAGGTTTTGGTATCTCTTTTACCATGAACGCTGACCTGTTCCCCAGCAGGTGGCATCACTGATCTAGCAGCGCTCAGTTAGTATGCCTGTTCTATAGTCTGTACTTAGCATACAAAATAATTATATATTTAATAAGGAGAAACTGTTGTTCCGTGCATTTTGTGAATAAGAGTAACTCGTGTAAAGTCCTTGTGCTATTTAAATGTTTATAAGATACGCAGCAGTATTTTTTTTAGCATTTCTGTGTCATAACGAGATTCTGTTTTCGGTCTCATTAAATGGAATCAAAGTATTCTCTTTTAAGGTAGCAGTTATTTATCTTGTCTAGAAAAGTAATGTCCTATGTTTAGAACAATAACAAAGCGCGATTCCGACAAGCATGTGATAGGCAACAGTTAAAAGAATCGAGGAAGAAATTAATAGTTGGTAGGATTGCATGCGACGAGAACTAATTCAATAATCTCTTTTCAAAAGACTTCTGTTGTATTCAGTTTGCACACACTCCTTAATATATATTTACTTAATGCGTATTTTAATACATGTCGGTCATGGACCCAGTGTAATCGGTACCGTTTGTAGACTGTCATGCACAAGGTTAACAGAACGAGCAATATTGCAACGAACGTTGTTGAACACTCTGTGTTTTACTGGACTAGGTTATTGACCTGCTGCAGCTCCCACGAGGTTCCATTGTTTATAATCTGGACCCGGACTAGGACCGCTCCATACTGCACAGCCGGGAAAATTTAGGGAGTGGTTTCATTCCTAGCCGTACTACCTGAGTTATAAGACTCCCCAGTCGATATCCGCATTTTCTATATGAGTGTAAACACGGACTAAAGTTTGGACGTGCTGCCCACTGTGCACGCCCGCCACCCTGCTTTGTGCCCTACTCTGCCTAGCCGCCCCCAACCACCCCATGACGGTGTGTAAATGGTACGTACCGAGGTTATAAAAGTGGCAGCGCTGGGCCGGTAGCTCAGTTCTCCTGGCGGATGGGAGAAAGGTGCAAATGTGAATGGGAAGTGCTGCTTTCTTCGTACGTTGCTCATCTTTATCATAAACCACTATGCCTGTGTTATGAGAAAGGGGGGGAAAACGGAAAGCTGAGCGAGATTTTTATTCTTTAAGAGACGAGCTTGAGATGCTGTACTTTTGTTGGAGATGTGTCTTTTAAGTGTGTAGCAAAATATGTTTTATATAAAAGGCTGGAAAAGTGTTGACGGTTATTGAAATTGAGACAAAGCTTTTTTAACGGGCGTGTTTTTATTGTTGCCGGTGGCAGTGGGTTGGGGGGTGCAGAGGTGGGGATGGCTTGAGGGGGTGCGGATAGTGACTGTTGGGGCCTGTACTGTCTGGAGTTCCCACGGCCTTGTGGGAATTGTAGTCTTTGTCGCCGGCGATGTGGGGGGGTGGTGAGTGCGGTAGGGACTCCATCTCCCAGCATTCTGTGGCATGGGCTATTGCGCACTGACGTCATGACGCTTCGTCTGTCGGCTGCTCCAAACGCCCCGGTGAGGGCGGAGTGAAACTCTTGATTGATGTCTGTTCAGCCAATTATATCTCGGGAGGGCCGGCAGCTGTGGCGAGGGTTCTGCAATAGGTGCGTGGAGGAAGTGGGGCGGGTCTCCGCTGCAGGGAGTTGGATTGATCTGGCTCCTTGGGCTTGTGGTTCTCAGGCTCTGCTTGTACAAGGGAGACAGGAGGGTATGGGCATGCAATGCTCTCAGAAATAAGGGCACCTTTATTATCCGGCACCTCTCAGACGGAGGTTTTCATTGGTACGGTAAGAAATAATGGTGAGTACTTTCTTAATCGATGTCTTTAAAACAAATAATCTTTGTCCACCTTTTATTGGATAAATTGGTTGCATTTTGGAAATGAATATGACAGGATTGTATTTTGACTTCATCGTTACTGAGATTAATGTATGAAAGAGATTGACGCTTGCAGTTAGTGACCCTGGTTGATGGTTATTCCTATCTTTAATTAAAAATAATACTGCTTTTGATGGTTTTTCCATTTTTTAAAGCACTGTTTAATGCGTGGTTCTGGTTTTAATTGAGGTTTGCCTTCGTCTTTTATAAAATGAGAATTTTCCTTTGTATGAATGTGCCCTAATTGGGTGAGCATCAAATAAATAATCAGGTGCATCTTGGATCACTGCTTATCTTTTGTGTTCTTTCTCAGAGCTTTTAATGATGTCATTGTGGTGTTGTCCTGAATCCTTGATTTTATACTCGAGTGTTGTAATTTTACAGCAGGAGCTCAAATATTGCTTCAGCAATGCTGCTAAAGCAGCCTACTCTTGCACTTTTAAAACACAAATTTTGTTTAATTTTTTTGAATACACTTGGAAAATAGGAACTATTAAGGTTCACACTGAGAATACAGTGTCACGTACAGACTACGGCATATAACAAGTCTCTACTCAAATGTTTTTGAGGGAGGGTGTGAGAAGGGAATTTGCAGTTTACCCATATGTAAAGTAGCTGAATAATTCTTTAAGGAATGTTAATGATTTAGGAGCCTATTTGCATTTCACAGTATATAACTTAATTATTGAGAAAATTCAAAACTTTGCCTCAATTGATGTTGTGCATGTTTTTATCACGGCAGTGCTATATTTTTGTATTACCTCTTATTGGCCAGCTGGCTTTTTGTTAATTGCACTAAACTTTGAAAATATTTATATAGTTTTAGTTTTTATGATAATTCATTCAGTACCGAAAAAATTAGGTGAAATTCACCTTCTCACCTTCAGTCTTCTAATCTTTTGTGTAGCTGAGGATCAGTACTGCTGAGAGAGCACTAAATTACAACCACAGGCTGCTTTTTTGGAAAGTAAACCTAGCTTGTTTCAAGCAATGTGTTTATTGTGGGCAGTAAAGTTTCCTTCCAGAGCGATTCCACTAAGATACATTGATTTCAGAAATTTAGTTCTAAGCAAATAGACTATTAGCAGAGGAGCATTTAAGAGAAATAAACTGGCAAGGGAATTTTCCATTCTGAACTGAACAAACATGTGTTTCATTGTTTTTTATTCATTTCAAGTAAAATATATTGAGCTGCGCATTTACTGGAAATCCCTTTAATGATGCTGAAGTAGTTTCATCAAATGTATTTCATATCCTGTAGTTGTGGGTCTGTAGCAAGCTATAATGAAGGAATTAAGCTACAAACAACATTGGCAATCAATCCCTTGACTTAAAAGAACACGGTGAAAAATAGTGGGCCTATTACCATGACCACAAATGTGTGAACTTCACAAATGATTGATGCTACTTGATACTTCAGAAAAATGGTCAACAATTTGGATAAATTCTTTATTGTGAGACCATAAGACATCGGAGCAGAGGTAGGCCATTCAGCCCATGGAGTCTGCTCTGCCATTTCAATGAGATTGTGACTGACCTGATAATCCTCAATTCAACTTTAATGGTTTCCCCCCATTACTCTTGATCCCCTCACTGATTAAATATCTGTCTATCTCAGCCATGAGTATACTTAATTACTCCGCCTCAACAGCCCTCTGTGGCCAAGGGTTCCACGGATACCCTCTTCAGGTGTCTTAAATACGTGATCTTTTGTTCTGAGATTATGCCCTCTGGTCCTAGACTTTTTGACAAGGCAAAGCAACCTTTTGGCATCTACCCTGTCGAGTCCTCCAAGACTCGATGTTTTAAGAATGTCTCCTTGTTCTTGTAGATTCCAGTGAGTGTAGGCTCAACCCCTCCTCAAAATCCCTCTATACTTGGCATTCGCCCAGTGAATCTTTTCTGGACTGCCTCCAGTGTCAGTTTATCTTTCCTTGGATAAACCTGTTCAACATTTCTGCTATGGTCTGACTACTGCCTTGTATAGTTTGAACAAACCTTCTATATTCCATTCTTTAAATAATGGCCAACATTCCGTTTGCCTGCTTTATTAACTGCTGAACTTTGTTAGTTTTTTAAGATTTATGGATGAGGAGTCTCAAAACCCTCTTTTCCACAATGTTCTGCAGTCCTTTTAAATAATATTCACCCTCTCTCCTTCCTGCCAAAGTGTATAACTCAAATTTTCCCAGATTATATGCCAAATGCCAATTTTGCCTGCATGCTTGACCTGTCTAAATTTCTCTGCAGACTGTCATCCTCACCACTTGCCTTCCCACCCATTTTCTGCTATCTGCAAACTTGGTTATCATGCATTCAATTTTCTAATTGGGGCGTATGAGATTTATCCTAGGATTCTCTGGGAAACTAGGGAGGAGATTGCAGAGCCTTTGGCTTTGATCTTTGTTGTCATTGTCTACAGGAATAGTGCCAGAAGACTGGAGGATAGCAAATGTTGTCCCCTTGTTCAAGAAGGGGAGTAGAGACAACCCTGGTAATTATAGACCAGTGAGCCTTACTTCGGTTGTGGGTAAAGTGTTGGAAAGGATTATAAGAGATAGGATTTATAATCATCTAGAAAGGACTAATTTGATTAGGGATAGTCAATACAGTTTTGTGAAGGGTAGGTGGTGCCTCACAAACCTTAGTGAGTTCTTGGAGAAGGTGACCAAACAGGTGAATGAGGGTAAAGCGGTTGATGTGGTGTATATAGATTTCAGTAAAGCGTTTGATAAGGTTCCCCGTGGTAGGCTATTGTAGAAAATACGGAGGCATGGGATTGAGGGTGATTTTAGCGGTTTGGATCAGAAATTGGCTAACTAAGAAGACAGAGGGTGGTGGTTGATGGGAAATGTTCATCCTGGAGTTCAGTTACTAGTGGTGTACCTCAAGGATCTGTTTTGTGGCCACTGCTGTTTGTCATTTTTATAAATGACCTGGATGAGGGCGTAGAAGGATGGGTTAGTAAATTTGCGGATGACACCAAAGTTGGAGTTGTGGATAGTGCAGAAGGATGTTGCAGGTTACAGAGGGACATAGTTAAACTGCAGAGCTGGGCTGAGAGGTGGCAAATGGAGTTTAATGCGGAAAAGTGTGAGGTGATTCACTTTGGAAGGAGTAACAGGAATAGAGAGTACTGGGCTAATGGTAAGATTCTTGGTAGTGTGGATGAGCAGAGAGATCTCGGTGTCCATGTGCATAGATCACTGAAAGTTGCCACCCAGGTTGATAGGGTTGTCAAGAAGGCGTACGGTGTGTTAGGTTTTATTGGTAGAGGGATTGAGTTTCGGAGCCATGAGGTCATGTTGCAGCTGTACAAAACTCTGGTGCGGCCGCACTTGGAGTATTGCGTACAGTTCTGGTCACCGCATTATAGGAAGGATGTGGAAGCATTGCAAAGGGTGCAGAGGAGATTTACCAGGATGTTGCCTGGTATGGAGGGAAGGTCTTATGAGGAAAGGCTGAGGGTCTTGAGGCTGTTTTCGTTAGAGAGAAGAAGGTTAAGAGGTGACTTGATAGAGACATACAAGATGATCAGAGGATTAGAAAGGGTGGACAGTGGGAACCTTTTTCCTCAGATGGTGATGGATAGCACGAGGGGACATAGGTTTAAATTGAGGGGTGATAGATATAGGACAGATGTCAGAGGTAGGTTCTTTACTCAGAGAGTAGTAAGGGCGTGGAATGCCCTGCCTGCAAAAATAGTAGACTCGCCAACTTTAAGGGCACTTAAATGGTAATTGGATAAACATATGGATGATAATGGAATAGTGTAGGTTAGATGGGCTTCAGATTGGTTTCACAGGTCGGTGCAACATCGAGGGCTGAAGGGCCTGTACTGTGCTGTAATGTTCTATGTTCTAATTCAAGGCATTAATACATGTAATGTAGTAAATAATTGAGCCTCTGCAGTGATCCCTGTGGCACACTGCTAATTACTGGTTACCGCCCTGAAAGTCCCACCTTATCCCAACTATCTTCCATTAGTTAGCCAATTCTCTATTCTTGCTAATATACCACCTCCAATGCTATGGGCTCTTGTCAAAGCATTCTGTAAATACAAGTATATATTGGTGGGAGATGATGGTGTAGTGGTATTATTGCTGGACTGTTAATCCAGTGACCCAGGTAAAGCTCTGGGGACCCAAATTCAAATCCTGCCACAGCAATAGCACATCTGGAATGAAGAGTCCAATGACGACCATGAATCCATTGTCAATTATTGGAAAAACCTATCTGGTTCTCTGTAGGGAAGGAAACTGCCATCCTTGCCTGGTCCAGCTTTTGTGACTCCAGACCCACAGCAATATGGTTACCTCTTAAATGCCATTAGGGCTGGGTAATAAAGCTGTCCTAGCCAGTGATGCCCTATCCCATGAATGAATATTTAAATAAAAGACTCTGCACCCCCTTTATCTACCCTGCTTCTTACTCCTCTAGGAATTCCATAAATTTAACAGGTGTGACTCCCCTTTGTCAGAATAAGATGTTAAACTTGCTGGTCTGTAGTTTCCTTTTCTCTCCCCTTCCCTTTTGAAATAATGGGTTGCATCAGCAGTTTTCTAAACCTCTGGGATTTTTCCGAATTTAAAGATTCCTGGAAGATTACTACCAGAACATCCACTATCTCTAGCTACTTTCTTTAATGTCTTGGGATGTATCCCATCTGGTTCATTGCAATTTAACCTGCTTAGTAGTCCCTCTAACCTTGGTTTTCTATCTCTGGTTTTTCATCTGATGTGTTCATGAGGACTTGCATTTTCTTTCATCAAACAGTAAAGAGAACTTTGCACAACTTGATTCTCACCTTTAGTGTATATTTTAAAAAGAAATTGATCCAGAAAGCTATCAATTTTGAGGAGTGGTTTCTTTTTCCTCTGAACTGAAGGGAATATAAAGTTTTGAAGGCCACAAAGGTGACT